ACAATACTTTTTATAGGAACAGTTTCTGGTTTGGACTTCCAATACAAACATCACTTACATATATCGTACTCTTCTGTTGGTCAATACCATCAAAAAACAGAGAACAAATTAAGCCGGGACATGGAAACCCTGAGGTATATATTGTTATGACAGGGTTGACAGAATGCAAAACAATCAGTAGCTTTATACATGGGTACCTCATCAACTCTGAGTACATGGCCTAAAACAAATCGTCCTCCAGAATAATCTATATAGTCGAAGAGATGAAATCAAAGTGAAATCGAATAAAAAATTTATGCACTACCGAGAAGTTGGCTATCCACTAATTCAGGTTCGACCTCTTAGTGTGAAAACAATACATCCAACCTAATCCTTCTATAACCCTAATTCTCTTTTCCAGAATGCTTTGGTCTGGGTTTTGATTTTATTATTATTTTATACTTTTTTTTATCCTCTAACAGTTTTTTATAATTAGTATTCAATTGTTATTATGACCTTTCATTATTCAATTATCTCTTACATTTCTGACTTATGAATTATTTTTATCTTTCTATTCTTCTCTAACCTATTGATTATTACACTATCTTCTTTTCAACACTTTATGACATAATCTTCTATTCTTCTATAAACGCATATATTTATTGAGCAACTATAAATAGAAATGTATAGCTTCATTAAATGATATCATAAAGCAGAAAATTCTCTTTGTTTCATTTTCGTTATTTTTACTCAATAATAATAAATTGGGTTACTTTAATAAATAGTGTTAAGTTGATTTATCACTATTTATTTGGAATAAATTTTATGTTTAGTTAAGGAAAAATTATATATTAACTGATGTAGAGTCATAAATAGGAACTTTTCATGCATTGCCTGAACTGAACTCCACAGATCATGGCATCTCATTAGAATTCCGTAAGTTACATCTTGAAGCTAATCGCTAGTGAGCACATGATTATTATTGGTTTAAGGGATTTGTGGACATTGTAATATTACAATAATACTAAAACTTACGAAGTGATCTGAGCTAGACCATAATTGAAAAACCTGGAAGAGTTGGATGGTTAACTTGACAGGTAACTTATATCAGTATGGGATTTCGGAGATTGTTAAGTTTTTGATTGAGATCATGAATCGATCGATGTTAGACCACCATTGAAACGGCCATCTAGTGCTTCCACGTTTTCAATGGTGGTCTAACATCGGTCAATTCATGATCTCAATCGTAAAGTTAACTTATGTATTTCATATATTTACGGGAACATTAAATATAAGAAATTTAATGGTTAGCACAAATGAATGTGACACCATGTTGTAGTAGTTACTTGGTTGAAATGTTGATTTTTTCTCACACTAAACTGTATCAAGCATTATCTAGTAATATGTATATTGTTTAAAATAATTTCTTGTATTTAAAAGCAGTCATAAAATTAAAGTACGACAGCATGACAAGTTTTACACGTCATTAATTAAGTAATATAATAACCAGAGTAATAATCTTCATTAACGACTAACAATCTATTACAATCCATTCAGAATAAGAGACAATATACATTTTGGGAAAATACATAGTTGATGCATTTATTTATTCATACAATTAGCTATTTAGTAAACAATAGTAAACTACTAGTGAAGAAAAGAGTAGATAATGAAATAGGTAGATAGATAGATATAGAGAAAGTGAAAACCCCTATTTCTTTTACATGTTTATCACATAACACACTTTTCGTACAATCTTATTTACTACTAAGTGCGTGTGTGTACGTGTATGTTGATACAGGTTTACTATGTTTCATATGCATACAACGTACAGTGACTGTCACAGGACAAAACACTATACATTTATTTAAATACATTGAATTGTTCATTATATTTTTAGAATTTATCGGTTTACTGACACAATTATAAGTGACAAGGGATTTCATTAACTATAAATTTGCTTTTAAGGATTTTGTGTAATGATGCAAGTGTTGTAGATCACCAGAATTTGTGTAATACATAAATAAGGTCAACAATATAACCTTAACAAACTCATTATATGAAGAAATAATCACGTTCACATTATTGACTAATTTACAAAGGTAATTCCTAGAGTTCTAGTGAGAAATTGGAACCAGTGGAGTTCAGCCATGTTGACGAGTGAGACATTATCGTAAAGATAGTTGTGTAATATCCCAAGTTGACTAAAGTTAAAAATATAAATCATTAAGACGCTACCCAAATGGTCTAAAGGTTATCCAAGTGCTCATTACGAGACCTAAATGTCCAGAATTCAATCCCCGGTAGGGTCGTCGACACCCACTATTATTGGGTTTCATACTAGGATGAAGAGACTGTCCAGTATATCCTGGTTTTCAATGATTGTTTAAATAAGATTAGTCAGTAACACGAGTTCCAAAATTTAAAAAGCATTACTTTTCGAATGTTTACCATGATATTAGTTCGTTATAAAACGTATGTAATTAAGCTAATCAAATACCTAGCAAAATAAAACCGACTACTAGAATAACTAATCACTACTGCTCATTAATAACCCACTTCAAGAAGTGATCAGAGAAGTCATTTAAATACGAAAATAATTACAGATAAAAATCGATAGCATAAGATAGGGTATAACTGAAAAAAAAGACAAGCATAACCAATAATAAAATGATAACCTGTTATCCATAACATGATAAAAATATTTGGATTCGGTCACATCTAGAGTGATATAAAACTAGAACAAAACAATCGCCTGAATATTTGCGGTTTCAAGAGAGTATTCAGTCTAAGGTTACCTTCAGATTATGCGTTTTCCCCGTAAGCAAAATAGATAAAGTTTAAAAATGGATTAAATTTGAATAACTACTTGTGCGTATTTAACAAATATCAATGTTACACAACATATTGACAATCTAATAAACCGTTAAAAATGATTACGTAAGACGACACAAAAACTATGTATTAGAGTGCTACTTCTCTTACACGGATTTTCAATATTTCACAGACACAACGCATGAGTATATGTCATTTGGTAATCCTCAATGGAAAGATGATCAGTATTAATAACTGATCGATAACAACTAAACAGTTATTATTTAGGATAGATGGATTGTGGTTAGTAGCCGGATGGGCCTAAATTCGTGTTGATTTTTTCACCGCCACCTAAATCCAGTATATTTTACTCCAAGCGTAAAATGCGCTATCCACTAAGCTACCTTGCCCAGATAGTTACTAAACCAAACTTTTTAATAATGATATAAACAGTTATATATTAAACTTAATATTTAAGGGGTTGGAACCTATTAGCTATTTGATGAAAATTGACTTACATCCCAATTGATTCAACTTGTTTACAAGGTACAATTTATGTATCGAGAGATTTGAATCACATCGTTTGATAGGAAGGTCAATGATACTACCTAGCTGAACAGATCAGAGTGGGACAAAACTCGAACCTATTACCGAAAAGATGAGTGCTTTAGACATTAAGCCGCCACTCACACTGTCATAATTTCTATTGTGTCAAATACGGATTATATCTTTTTCAGATTACATATTTTGCAAATGTTATATTCCACAGAAATTGAAAAGATTAAAGAGATTTGTAGTGTGTTCTCGTATAGTTTCATGATAAATTTTCATTATAAATCTGGCATCAATGAAGTGACCACTGACAACCAAGATGCATTACATAGCATTTTCATCCTAGTTCAAGACACCTCAACAGTATATACATTTAAGACATTATGCTGAATTAAACGTAAGAGGGCTTTAAGTTTCCTGGTAAAGATGACACTATCACTTGTGGGCGTCAAACAACTGGATGATGAAACCTATCAACTTATTTAGAACATCGAATGTTGATTGTGATATGTCATATGAATCAACTGAGCCTGGAAATGTAAGTTATTCAATACAAACTCAGTATGACCTTCATTTCATCCTGATTATTTTGAGATCTAAAACTGTTAAATGTGAATCCCATGTAGGGTTGTGGACGAGCATTTTTTCGAAGTTCCGAAACAGGACAAAAAGCTGTCCAATGAGTCAGCATTTTTTTTTCATTGAATCTTCACTCGATATCGGTAGTATATGATGAAAATTTCCTGTTTTCTTATTCACGTTTATTATGGTTGTGTGTGTCGCTTGTCTTGTTAGCAAACTTAGGAGCCTTTAATGTACCACATAATATTCTTATCAATGAAATTCCTAATGAAACAAGAAGATAATTAAACATAATAATAAATGTAACATTAAATAATCTTTGGAGTTTGCCAAATATTTGTTTTTTATGAAGAAAAATGAACTATAGAATAAAACATTGTCAAACTAATAATACACAGATTTATAAGAATATGCTTTAATATAAATAACATATATGATCACAAATAATGTGAGGATAAAAAACACAAACATTCCAATGTAAACCGATTAAGAAATGATTTAACAGGGTTAAATATATAACGATAGTTTGGTCAGGAGATTAAGTCTACCAGAATTATGTTTCGAACGAAGCAGTTAACTTGACATATTGGTCAGGTTTAGATATCATGATGACCAAATCAAAAAACATTGAGTGAGAAACGTGTTCCTTTAGGTTGTACCATGATGAAAAGGTCGGTGGGAAAGGATTCTCACAAAGAAAGGAAGGGGTTAGAAAATATTAGCCTTATAAATATTACACTTCACCTTGTCCCATGGATTTCAGTCACCGACAGTAAAGTCTTTAGATAACAAAATTAACACTTCTCGCATATTTGATAGGTTCCAAGCAGTTGTTCTTAGGGCTACAGAGTTGACATGTCAAGTCACCCAAACCAGTACTATTCTAGTTTCAATTTCAAGAAGTATCCACTCATCTAAAAGGTGCATTTAACTTAAATTTAGCTACTCTTTTTGATTAATAGACTGTATGTTGATGACGCCTATGTCTGTCTTAAATACTAATCTTTCTATAAATATTTTCAACTGAATGGATATACTAAACATAATGAATTTTTGAAGGTGATAACACTTACACGACGACCTTCATCGGTATAGCATAATTCACCGTCAATTTTGTATACGTCGGCTGGGCACCATTGACTACGACCATCACAATACTCCGGTAAATCACAAGTACCAGATTCATTACGACAGATAGTTCCAGAAGGTTTTAATTTACAGTAAAAAGATGCTGATTGATTTACATTTTCCAGGGAATCTTTTTTAATAATATCACAACATGGACCACCAGCGCACTGAGAATTACCACGTAATCGACAACGTACTGGGTCACAACAGGCTTGCCACTTTTCTGGACATGAAGTTCTAGAGTGTAATTTATTTTAAAAAAGTTAAGAAAAGTGATGCTAATTGCTGCAAAAGAACAAAATTAATTTTATGAATTTATGCATATTGAAGAAATAATTCATGTGAGCTAAAATGAATCAACGTCATCTAGGGTACTACTACGTTAAGCTCTGCGGTTGTTCTAGTACATACGGATATATATGCTTTTTATTGAAATGAATAGGAAGCTCTATATGAAGACGGAATCTATTTTGCATACAACTCACTATTGTATATATATATATATATATATATATATATATATATATATATATATATATATATTAGTCCCAGGATTATTCATCCTGTCTACTTTTCATATGACTGACTGATCAACTTTAGATTACCAGTTTCTTAAAGTTAAACAATTAAAATTTAATGGTTCACATCTATTCTTAACTTCAATTATTATATTATACTGATACTGACAATGTTATTGGTTTTCAAAAAGTGTCATTTACCGTAATAAATAACAACAAACACTTTATTTTACCAGAGGATTTTTATAAATTTCCGAATTTCATTAGACAATCTATGTAGGCAGATACATATAAATTTGCTTTCACCGAAAAAAATCGAAATAACTAGTTCTTATCCAGTAACTATAGTGTAAATTGAAAATCTGTTAAAGACGACGGTTAGTAAACTCTAGTGGTATACATAAGTCACGAAGAATTATTAACAGACTTTATTCAAAATAATTGTCGTCATTATTTTTATGACATGATTCAGTAAACCTAAAAGTAAGTAGGAGTGAAATAAATTCACGTATTTAGAAAAGTAGTGTTTGGTTTGGATAAGCCTATGGAAGTTCCAAAAGAGAAGATCCACTTTTAAAAAAATACATTCTTTTCTTACATTTTTAAAACTAACTTATACAATGGTAATATTAAAAAAATAATTGTTCCCTATTGTGTGCAGGAGGTAATGATAACTGGATTAAAATCAATTTTTTGTAATATTTACAATTAACGATTGGTTTCATTGACGAATTGATAACATGACGATGTGACCTCTACTAGGTCCCTCCTATTAGCAAACTGTTTCTTGGATAACTTAGAAAACATTATTATTTTGAAAACGAAATTATTCTTAAGTCTATCAATTCATAACTATTATTCAAATATCATACATAGGTAAGGCTATAAATCTTTATTTTATATTGAATAGTTCAATGGCAATAATTTCTTTTTGCAAAATAATCTTGATTTGACTAGACTATAAACATTAACATTTGATTGATAGATAGACAGAGCTACCGACAAAATAAACCGATATAAAAATGTGTTCAATAAGAGAATTCCCAAACTCTTGTACACTGATAAAGGTTTATTGTTTTGTTTTAATCCTATCGCCTCAATAAGAAATTACCTTCCTATTATTGTCAAAACACAAATAGATTATTTTTAAAATTGGTTGGGTGAGTCATTCTATTGAGGGTAAATTCACCAACAAACAGGGTTAACATTTGGTAAAAAAATACATACACAGATGTCGACAGTACATTGATAACATACAAGTCAAAACGATTAAGCATCTGACTATGACTAACGATGAATTTTCATTCTCTATCTGCTTTCTTCTATACTGTTTATCTTACATATACAGCAGAATATGCATACACAAGGATAACCATTGCGATGATGTTTACATTCTGTCGAAACAAATGATACAACTAATATCATCACGACCAATTGTCCAAATGTGGAGAAAATTGACCTACGTACATAAAGTATTCTGATAACTGTTTATTCGGTATGTGGCTAGTAATGGGATCTAGAACGTGTGTTCCGTCACATTTTGCACCCTTCAGTTTGATATATATTGATTTCAATGATGATATTCTCAATGAGATTCGATAGTATTCCTTATCATTCCCATCTACAATTCGTTATCTACTAAGCTGCTGACTGAGTTCAAAACCTGTTTGAAATCTTAATCAATAGTATGTATTGTAAACACCATGGTGGTCTAGCTTCAATTGACTCATGATCACAACCATTGAAATTACTATAATATCCGCAAAAACCCTTCTAATGTGAAATTGTTGCGAAGTAGATAGTGACGAGCGAAAATAAGAATTAGGTAAAACTGAGACAAAACTAATCCAAATAAGTGAGTTAAATTATCACTAATATTTTCTGTCCCAAATCTTGCGCTCCACTATCGATTGTTTTCTATCTGTCTATCCTTTTCATTTTTTTTCTTGTATATACCTTATGCTCATAATAAGTTAGGACAGGTTTCAACCGTTTGTCACTTAAGTCAGTGGTCTCAAAGATAACACTCAATTATGACTATCAGATAGATAGATAGGTAGACAGACAACCAAGAAGAAAAGTGTATCGATTTCAGAATGTCAAATGTTTCATTACATTGCAGATTAGTAGTGTTGACGTCTAGTTAACGAAACATTTCAAGTTTCTATGGTGATGATTCTTAGAAAAGTAATTTTGCCAAAGGCTTCTCATGGGATTTGTATCGTGCATAAAAAACTTCTAAAACTCATTAAATATCACAAATTCACACTTTCTATTCTTAGTTAATCTTTTCCGTTCAGCTGTGATATTGATGGAAAATTAATATTAGTTGTGTTGAAAAGTGAATGCGGGTAATTACAGGGATGATACATGGTGACTATTCTAAGAATGATAAGCATCACTAAAAGACCAAATAATTGATCGTTGGATAAATCAAGTATATTGAATTGTTGGCTGAAATGTGTTTCACACTCGCCAGTTATTCCATTTCCCATTGGGGTACTCATTGGTGTGTGAAGTTTTGTCAAGCTATATAAATAAATCATCTAACAATAAAATTCATTGAAGTCCACTCTCAACAATAATTGCTGCATTCCTTTGAAGTATGGATCATTAAAATTAATAGAGTTACTACTTTGATTTCTTTAATGTAAATTACTTTTCTATCCAATTATGAGTGATGATATTTTAGCTGATATATACACAGACATGCACGTTCCTACACTGTTTCTATTTGTTCACTGATTTAAACAATTTATATATACAAAAGGGAAACAGATTAAACTATTGAATCATTTAAAGTTTACTAGAGTTTAAAACAATTTAGTCTTTCAGGTTTCTTCTTATTTATTTGTTGTTGAATGGTTTGAAGTGCCAAACACATAGTGTGAAGGAATTTCATTCCTTCTAAATATTCATCAGTAAAGTGTAACATTAAAAAAGACGAAATTATTGGTTAACTTCAAACGACTTGGTGTAAATATCCAACTAACCACCCAATTTCCAGTGAACAGTATAAAAGACAAAACTGGAAAGTACTTTTTGGAGATCAGAGGAATTACAGACCTAAAATATAAATATGGATATTACCACTACCTAAAATTCATTTATAATTCACTGCACGTTAGTAACTTGTTTTAAAATGAATAGTCCGGAAATTCAACGAAACAACGTGGGTTGTGGAGGTAAATCAGCTTAGGGCCAACGATGATCATGTTACATCGTGAATTAAAAAGTGCAGAACATTGCATTCAAACTTAGGGATTGAGTCCTATTACAATCACCAATCGCAGCCTCGATATAATATAATATGGAAGATCTATGCTGATGGGAACTTTCGAAATGGGATGAAGGAAGTATATAATGTTTTCTGATTTTTAAAGGTTTCGTTAAACAGTTTCCAGTCTACTATGAAACAACTTTCAGACTATTTAATCAAACAAACACTCAGCGTTTGTTATAAGTTTGAATACAAATGCATGCAATCATTGTACAATTACAAAACACTGTATGAATCAGTTTATATATCAAGGAATATTTTACTAAAAGTGGCATGATTTTAACTGAATAAAGTTATCACAATTAGATAGCATTGTTAACTGATACTGATATATTTGCATCCATTGAAGTGAGCAGTGTTGAAGTTGGTTGATGAGAATATGAATCTTCATAAACCAAGATGAATAGAACATCTGTAATGATTGTCAAACTACCGCTTACCTTGACTCACAATGTTTGATGGTGTAGAAGTAGGTTTAAAGAAAGTTAGGGGTCATATCAAGACGTGGTATCACTCCGTAAAGTCAGTGACGGCTAAACTGAGTTATGTTGGTACGCAAAGACTTGATTGGAGTGTGCGTGAATTAACTGCTTCAGAAATTCAACTCGCTATGCTGATTTGATGTGAACATATGTGCAAAGTTTTACGTTTATTAAGACAGACTAACGTACCTGCATTAAATAATAATGCAGATAACTTTTTACAAAATGAAAAGAACAATAATATAAAATATGACCTGGCTTAACTTACTGTGTACCACAATCACATTCTTCACCAGGATCCAACACCCCATTTCCACATAATCCATTTGCATATTTCTCAACAGATGAGGCAGAATGACGTTGTCTTATAGTTAATACACGACTAACTGGAATTCGTTTCGCTTCACTTTGCCAATCATAAATATGTACAACACTTGGAATACTTATATTATTATTATTGTTATTCTTTCTATGCGTAGATGTTTTAGAGTTTGGTACGAAAGAATTAACTGTTACACTCCCACTAGCAGGCAAATCATGTAAACAAACACCCATTCCATAGTTTAATAGACCTGGTAAATCTCGTATAGAACATGGTGACCATTTCATAACTGTTGTGCCAAATCTTTAAGGTGAGAAGAGAAAAAAACAATAATGACTATGCGAATGAATGTTGAATGATATCATAAACTGGAGAGATTAATTTTCACGTAATCCAGTCTGATAAGAAAAAATGTAAACAATAGATTCAGGAGTGAAGTGGCTGTAACTGAGTAACTGAGAGATTCACACTACGTTTGGACATAATGCTCTAAGTAAAGATGGTGAATTGGATGTTGAAACCTAGTGTCATCATCGGCGAAGGTGAATGGAATATGAGTAACATATAGCTGATCACTGCCTATTAATGTAGGGGTGTACATGTAAAGAACGAAGAAGGCAGTTAAACTGGGAAATGGAATCAATCGATGACTATTAATCTGGCAGATAAACATTGCATTGTTGGAGACAGCGTGGAAATCATGATCAGTGGTAGTAAACTTAGGGCTAAATGGCTTAAAATCGGCAAATCAACGTAGATAACTTCATTCGACATTTCTACTTAGGTTCTAATTCTCGACACGTTTAAGTTAACTTGTAGATTTCAATCGGTAAACTTAAATTTGGATGATTATCAACTAGTAGTAGCCTGTCACATATATAAAAATCTGTATTACAAATAGAATTTATAAAAATGAAGCCAATCACAATTCAACGTAAACATGTATCGGTAGGGTTTTAGCAAAACTACAATAATTCAATAAAAATTACGAAGACTGGATAGAATGTAACAATAATGTCATATTTAAATGACATTTTCTGAAAATTCGATTACTGTAGTAACATTGGTAACATACAACTTAATACAAGAGGTTTTGTAATTCCATAAATGTGAACAAAAGTTGATGATAGATAAGTACAGAATAGGTCATGATATAATCGAAGGAAAAGTCAAAATTACATTCTCTTATCCATTATGATTTTTGTTCGAAATTACTTTTGTTTTAATTCAATATGATGATTTCTCAGTGTAGTATTTGTTTCTGTTTTCCCGTCTGACATTTTATTGTGTATAACATGCGATATTCTTGTAATAAGAATTGACATGGACTATGCTCAGCATGACATGTAGCATATGATTTGTTATAACTGTAAGAATTTTTCATATATGTGATTTCATCTTAATTATTAATCAAAATGGTGGTACAAACCAATATTTAAATGAGTGTATTTTCGACTAGGGTCGTCGTCATCATCGCGTTTGGGGCTAAAACATCTTCATTTCTACCAACCTTCTTGTTTTAAGTTTCGTGTCGTAATAAGTGATTCAGAAATAATAATCAGCGACGACCAAAGATAATAAGTAGCGTTCAATCAGAATACGTATCAGGTAAAATATTCGTTCATTTATTTAAATTTTTTAATCTTTTGCCTCTGTTATGATCAATTTTCCAGAAAATTCAAATGGATACGATATTCAATTGTGATATCTTACACAACTTCGTATGATTTTTTACAATCCAAGCTTACGTATATAAAGTCATGTTTAAATCAATCAGAAACTAATTTTAGAGGTATAGGATTCTGCAGACTGTTGAGTTTCAATGAAATAATGAGCCTATCAATGTTCGATTCCTGAGTGTGAAGTCGTGAATGTGAACTACTGAGGAATCCTGTACCAGGATAAAGCGGCAATCTGGTGCTTCCGGATTTTTAATGGTAATCTAATATTGATCGACTCAAGGTTTCATTGAAACTGAACAATCTCCGCAACCATATACTTACATATTGTCAAGTGGATCTCGAAATGGGAACTATTACCAATTTGTTCATAACGAACAACATAAAGCAACTTCAGGATGAGTGTAATCACTAATAGTGGTTGTGTTCTTAGTCTAAATAAATACCTTTAAATTCTTACTTTTGAATAATATATTTGCCTAATGTTCGTTTATTTCCAAATATATTACAATCGATATCAGTCCATGATAAAAAGAATATATCCTCGAAAGTGACCCTATCTAGCTAATAATCAAAATGAACTAAAGACGAATTGATATATTTCACAAAGGAACTATCAAATTGAAGCAAATAACACCTTTAACATTATTTATTTCACCAAAAACATAAACCGAACTTAGCCAACACAAAGAATGTTTGTAATCTCTTTCTCATGATAATAATCATGGACATTGTTGTCAGAAAAAGTAACCTTGGAACCACATGATACTTACATGTTTGTGAAAATATGATTATTATGACTTAATAGCATCGTAATAGGTAAACAATTGTAACCAACCATTATTTAGGCATTCATATTTAAACTTCATATATGGACAAGCTAATAGTGAATTTGGAAAGCACACACATGCACAAGGGCCTGTAAGAAATTTCTTTCTTTTTCTCTGAAGATAACAAGAAGGGACGATATTTTTGTGATGGTATAAAAACCTAAGATATACTAAGTTGTCTGATATGACAATTATTCATTCGAACAACCGAATAAGACGATGAACATTAAGGAGGAAATAAAATACGATATGAAAACAAACATGTCTGTGATCTTGACAAGAAATAGCGCAATGCAAATAAAACGCAAATCTGTAAACAAAACACGTCATTAAGAAAAGTTGAAAGTTCATAATTCTGTCAAAATACTGATTTTTAATTCCTCTAAATTAACTTATCACTGAAAAAAACAAATCAACAAAAAGTCTTCTAAGACAATAATACGAAAGACAGTGACAACGATCAGCATAGTGTTGACACTTTGAATTGTTAACCTGGGAATCTTTCAAGTAGCAAGTTTGTGTAATTTCCTATTGTTGATATTCAAGACTGATAGGTCATGTTAATTCGAACGCTTATTTCGTTTCCTAAGCTATTCTTGAGACCACCAAGCTAGAACTATACAGCAACCTGAACAAGAGAGAAAAATCGCAAAGTATGCGAAAAGTACTTTACTCCAAGGTTCGTTCTTGTACAGAAAAACACGGGTATTTATAGATGCTAACATTTGCTAAATCAACATCATATTTTGGCCAAACCGCTAAAAGACATATATGCTACTAACCAATAGTAGCACGCCATGCTGGTATTCTAGAAAGTTCCATCGTGCTCTGATTGGCTAGGACTCTTCGGCTCCTTGAGGGCCTCCGGAGGCTACGTTGCAGTTCTCGGAAAGCTGACTTAACAAGGACTTCAATTAACCGTTTTATAAATTTTCATATGGGTTGTTTGAGAACCCAGTACTATTTCTTTCGTTTATCACACGTTATCGGTTAAGCTACTGAACTCAGATAGTCACAAACTATTTTGTATACCCGACGAACCAATTAGAAGACTCAGTAACCTAGTGGATAACGTATTGGTGTTTGCAGCGGTAAGTAGGGGTCTCAAGTTACAATATGAACATCGAAGCTGACAAACAGACATTGGTACGACGATACAAAAACAACAAAATTGATGAGAATAGTGTAGTGGTAATGATAAAATGAAAGATAAACCTTGAGAATATGACTTGAAAAGACATGGTTAAAAGTATGTATGATGGGATACTGGAATTCGAAATGGGGAGAAAGATAAGGACTGAATGGTATCTGCTCTATCGCTAGCAATTTTTGAGCCATATCAGACGATGTTTTCAACAACCGACAACAGTTGTCAAGTGGATGGTGACGCTGAGATGCAGGTACATTTGACGAGTCTCAAAGAAGACACAACATCCCACCAAGATTTCGTTGCCAGCTCAAATCAAGGTAAAGTAGAATCTTCTCAGACTTCAAGTGAATTTTATTCATCAAAAATAGACAAATATAATTCACCAATGAATAGTACTTACTCTACACCAGTAGCCATTATACAACCTTGACATTCACATTCTTCAGTATCATGTCTTAAACCGAAATTATGTCCAAGTTCATGTGCGATAGTACGAGCTGTTTCGATAATATCAAGTGTTGGTGATACCTAAGTAAATGCATAAAACAACAACGAAAAATAAGTAGATAAAATATCCATATCTTTATTTCTAGATAAAATATTTTATTTATTTACTTTTGGTCACAATCAACGCAATCGTCATTTTTTTGTTTTGTAAACCTTTTTCCTCTAATGACAACATATCATAATGGAACTTTCAAGGTTCTAATAGGAAGCTGTAAACTGTGAAGAAATTAAAACTCTATAACTAAGTGGGGCAGTAGTTAATTGACCATGAAATCGGTTAGTTAACCCTTGCTTAAAAGTATTGAGATGGTTGAGAGACTGAAAAGTTATGAGTACAATCTCTTATAAGATTGTGAGCTGTACCAAAGTAAACTAAAACAGCTTCATGATTTTTATAGTGAGAACATTATCTCTATGCTGCATAAAATCTCCTTGAAAAAGTAAGATAATAAATAAAGACAATTTAAGTGATTTTGGAATTTCGCAGTCTACATCATGCATCGAAATTCTTTAGCGATCCGTTGAAAATCAAGAAGCTCTTTAGTGGAATTTTAGATAGTCATTGCCGAAGACTCTTGTACTAAGACGAAACAACTTTTCGATATTTCCTCATTTTCAAGGGTTGTCTAACTATGATCATTTCGTGTGATTCAAATTACAAAATGTTCAAATATATACAAATAAATATTACAGACCATATGATGGGTCACTGAAAGAAAGTCGAAGACATAAAATAACGTAGTTTTAAAGATTAATGAACTTGTTGATCAATTGAATGTATCACGATAGATCATCATGTCTAATAACAGCAGCAAATACCAGTACATTATATGACTCAGTCAGCAAATATGACTAATATGATAACCCAACTAATGAACCGAAAATTCAGAGAATTACTGAGTTAATTAATCATTAATTAAACAATTATTGAAAGAAGAATGAAAAATTTTGTTCAAACTTACTCTACTGTAACCAACACAACGCGAATAAATACACATAGTCATATGATTAGCTTTTCCACGTGTTCGTGAGCCTTGTTCTTTTGTACCCCTATGTTGTCAGGTCGTTTTTTGTTTGTATAAGGAAGTGAAGAAAGCAGAAATGAAAAGCTTTGTTACGGGAAAATGTGAATTTACGTCAACGTTTAAACAAATAAGTTAACTCGTATTTATATTATTAAATTATGAAGAGATATAACAACAACAGGTTTATCTACCCATATCAATAATATATTAAATTAAAATTAGGTTGGCATGAATTAGTCAGTCATAGATGACATATTGGTTTGGGCGGTTTCTAATTAATCAATAGATAAAGCTTTTCTCATACGTTGAGATTATGCAAAGTGGTTGTGGTCATCATCGTTTAGGCACTAATTACTATTGTTACTACACGACAATAGACACGAAGAATGTATATATTGTAAGAACTTACAATGTATTTATATAATACATTATACATAGCCTTCAATCTTATATTTGCATCATTCAGCGTGTTCTGTTATGTGAATTGTCTTCTCATCTGGTCTTCAAGTATTTTGCCAACGCCATGCTTTCGACGCTCTGGAACTCTTCACTCCATCTGATAATTATAACAACTTCCACGTTCTGTTCCGCTATACAATACTTACAAACAGTCTTGTGAGTAGCGTCCACTACACTATTACCATAATAGGATTTAGTATTAGTAGTAATAGTAATGATAATAGTATTAGACAATAATTTCATTAACATTTTACTGACACATATTCACTTCGGCAAACTTTAACTAAACTTATTTAGGCTGAATGAAACAGGTATAAACATGTGTCTATTTAGTTCAATAATCAATAACAATTGTATTTTAAGTTGTAATAAGGTCAAATGGTTATTTGTTCAACCAGTAATATGTGTTGTTAATTAGATTGAATATTGATTCTAATCATTCACTAAAAAAGAACTGATTAGTTGAGATGAATTTGTATTATTTAAATAAAGAGGGTTTGATGACTGACATTGTTGTATCTGAATAAGATTAAATTATGGATAATTTCTGGGAACTATTTATGGACTGTTATTATGTTATATTCCTCTTGTTATAAGCTTATATATGACTTATTGGCTACTATTATACGATTTACCATTCTTAAGTTATACCCATTCTATTAGTTACAGTTACTCACACTCAGCCAAAATTTGTTTGATCTTGTATAATTATTATTTTTCATTTTATGGTGTGATGCGGTTTGATCTGCTTGTATATTTACTTCGCATAATTGAAATATACGATTCGCACAGCGGAGGCTGATATTTTTGTTCTGGACTGAGCAGGCTATGCTAAATGAGAAGTTACTAGTACATAGGATCAATACGGATTCAGAGTTGACGCAAGGCTGCTAGTGCTGGTTGACGTGTCATTGGTTTAGCACAGAGACAAGGTCATATAAATCGGTATTCTGATTGGAAGTTTCGTCCCGTGATAATTGACAGGGCCATAGGACATAACAGAAAATTTGTGTTCAGTCTAGAAAGCATATTTAAGGAATGCATAACTCAGAGACGTCTGTTAAATGAATAATTTTCATGGAAGTATTTAAACCTTATCATTTTTACTAATATCAAGTCGTATGGGGTTTTGAAAAGCTTGTCAAAATGAGTGGTTATTTTAAAGTTATTATCAAGTTATAATTATCTGAATAATATGACATAATGGTCAAGTGGTAATCGACGTTAAACTATTATAATGCCAGTTTGAAACACAAGTCACTAACTATGGTTCAGGAAATTGGAAGTACTATTTGATTTCATAAAATAGTATGTCCAAGTTTACATTTTTTTATTCTAGAAAACATCTACAGATTAAACGAGTTAAATAGAAGTATTTCTTACAGGAACTTATAATTAACAACCATAATAATGCATTGTAGTTTGTTGTTTAGTCTGTCTTGAAATAAAATAGTTCATTCCAGATAGATATGTGTATGATTGGATTTTTAGAAATAAATGCTGAAATTTCGAACAATAATAATAATGATAGGTGTTACTGATAACACACTACTGAGATGACTCATCTGTACAGATGAAACTTAAATGAACAAAAATATTCACATATAAATTGTTTGATAAAAGTATGCGTACATGTGATGAAACGTTATATTACCACTTAGATATTAGAATTAATCACGTCACAATAGTAACTACTATTTAGCAACACATTGAATTGAACTATGTAAAACTATAAGCAGAGATGGATGGTGGCTAGCGGTGGAATCCAGGATGCGAGTTTCGTTTTATCTGAGACTCGTCAGCTGGGTGTACCTGCATCCAAATGTTGATGTTCACTCCTGAACCCGAACCCAGCACTGTTCGCCTCAAACGCCATCGCTTTATCCACTAAGCTACTGAGTCCTGACAGCCACTTGCTTGTGCAATGGGGATGATGGTACATCCAGCTGACGAGCCCCAAGTGGGATGAAACGCGCACCCTGGATTCCGCAGCTATCCACCATTCATATTTGTTTATAATGCTTGTGACTTAAGGCAATATCGAGGCAACCCACACAGGATGCACATATTTCAATAAGAGACTGGTCAATTGCAGTCATAAAACATCAATGGGAAGTCTCAAACAAACAATAACAAATGTGCAAAACTAGTTTTCAATGACTAACAGATATGGTCAAGAATTTTTTAGCTTAGAGTGGAGCTTCCCGTTCACATTTATTCAATGCTACGAATAAAAAAAGATCTTACAGATCCAGGTGAATGTATGAGCTTCAAGTATTTCAAGCGATAATTTTAACTAATAATGTCAATATTTCATCATGTTGAGGATGTTAGACGACTCTCTGTGTTCGATCATCGTTGTCTCCGAAAGATTGCTGACATCCAGTGGCAACACCATGTTAGTAATGCAGAGGTCCGGCATCGTGTGTTCGGTCACAGAGACGATAATCCAATTGGTGTCACCATCTTGAAACACCGACTTCGCTGGCTTGGACATGTTCTACGAATGTCTCACAGAGAATTCCTCGTCGTGCATTATTTGCCGACTCTGGGACTGGTTGGAAAAAGCAGAAAGCTGGTCAGTATATGACATGGTGTCGTGGTATGAAAGAAAGCTGCAAAAGGCTCGCTTCTGTTGGTCCTTCACGACTCCCTGGCTTGGGTCCGAGAGATGGTGTAACACAGTGGCTAGAGACGTTATCAGATACGGCTCAAAATAGAAGCCAGTGGCGATCCTGCTGTAACCTTCTTTTACTTTCTTCATAAAAAGTGGTTGTATCTTCCTTAACTGAAAGATTTCTTCTGATTGTACCTTCCGTTTCCCCTGTTATTATTATTACTATTACACTACCTTATACTAATCTGTTTGTTATTGTTCTTTTTTTTGTTTTACGCTCCTTACCCTCTTTTTTGTTGTTTTCCTCTTCGCTTCAAATTCTCATTGTTTTGTGTGAGGCATATATTTGATGCCCCGTTGTACCAATATTTATGTGTTCAAATAAACAAATAAATAAATTTAACTAATAATTGGAAATTTTCGTGTGAGATGACTGAGAATCTGTCACAATGATTTAGATGTATCAATTCGTTGTTTGCTCTTAGAATTTGAGCTTTGAAACCATTTTATATATGCTTTATGAAACAAATTTACACTTTTTTCTAGCACTATATTGTAAACACTTAGTCTCTTTTACTACTAGTGATACTATAGCTTTAATGAACGAGAACATAAACAATGTATTTCATTACAAAATTACAGAGTATCCCGGTAGAATATAAGAACTATATATAAAATACTTCACTTGCAAAGATTCTATGCTTATGTCTGTCGACACAAGTAGCATACACTACATAAGTAATTCCCCTACTCTGGAATTGGTCATGATAATTTCATCTGGTTGTTATAACAAAGTGATGAAAACTTGAACTGACGTATATATGTGTCAGGTTCTACATTGCCTATTGATTGATTGACTAACTTATATTTTAAATAAATATTCAATAATCATTTCATTGGTCACCATATGAAACAATAACAAAAAACACAACTAGATGTTAAAATACTAACTTACAATAAAGCATGCAAACAATCATGACGCACATTAGCATGCATTCGTTTAAATTGAGCTAATGCAGTGAGCAGATGATGTTCTTCAACCTTTAAACTAATACGATCCTGTTCCCAAATTTCTAAACGAACAATAACTATTACAATGTTGAATGGAGCAAACAACTAGAATCGAGAAAAACAAGCAAGAAATTATTTGAAGAAAAGAAAATAGTTAAACGTACGATATGCGTGTACAGGCATTAAAAACAATTGGACAATTAATGGGATAAATCTTATGTTGTCCGACACAAATTAAGTATAGGTTTATGTATTCGGTCACGTACTTAGTTTGAGGTTTATTGGGATACTCTGACTGCCTGGAAGTAGATGAAGAGAGGAGTATATATATATATATATGACCTATCATTGAATTACTATTTATTATATAAATTACTAGATCACTGCCCAAATGCTTTAATCGAAAAAAAACTATTTTTAAAACGGACTAACTTGTAGGTCATTGAGTAATCATATCTGTTTATTAGATTTATATTAATTGGATAATAGATGTATCATTATACTGTTCCAAGCAAACTAAATGGGGTAAGATTCGAGATTATAACTGATTGGTTCAAAAATGAATAGTTTTAATAATTGATTTTGTAGTGAACAAAAAAAAAGCGGGGACGACCAAATGCATTTCAATTCAAAATTACAGAGTATCCCGGTACAGTATAGGAACTATACATAAAATACTTCATTTACAAATATTCCGTCAACTGTTTTTTACATTCTGTATGATTCTTCCAATTCAAAATTCTTTTCTAATTCCGTTTCCATTTTATTCAATTCGATCGTCTCAGCTTTCTGCTGCTATTCGTTTCACTTCCGAATGGTGTTATATACACTTATATCTGTCAACACAAGTAGCGTACAACACAATTTATGTACTATTTAAGTGATATTTAACTGATTTCGTATTTAAATAATAAACAGCATAATTAAACAAAATCAACTGAAAAAAACTGTATTATCTATTTAATGTTGCAATACTAATATTGATTGGGTAAATCCAATAGTGATAAAACTATTCATTTGGAATACTCTTAATGAATGAATTGTGATGATGAAATGGTTTCGCTTAATACAATTTACTCTAACATTAAAGGAATAAGAAAGACAATTATGGGAAATGCAATTATTGCATCTAGACGATCTAAGCTGTGATTGTCTATTGAGAAAGCAGCATGTACAATATGTGTACTGCACGTCTAACCTCAACATTGCCAATCGTATGATATCATCATACATAAGAAATGCTTTAAAGATATTATTCCAATACTTGTTTACCTAAAGTCAAACCCAAGACACGAACTATTTTCAGTTCCAAAATGATCCGAACCGAATGTTAAAAGATGAAACAAAACACTATATACATTTTGTGGTTAAAAATCGATTACTGAATTAGCTAAACATAACAACTGGTCAACACAAACTTTTTCACCCAGTAAAAAAAACAAGGAACGTAGACAAAAATCGTCTGAATTTCTTGTAACAAACTCAAACTCATGTTAATAATAAGCCGTGTTTTTAATTTAATGAACAGATTGTGTGGAAAGTGAGGGAAAAAGTAGATAATAAAACATGTAAATATCATTTACAAGAAAAAGCATTAATGTATTCTGAAATTAATGAAAAGCACTTCAAAGCATTTGTCAAAATGAAATACAGAAGTAAATCGATAAAGAACAATCCATAAAATTTCCCTTTTATAGTTTACAGTCTAATTTTAGGTAAAAATTAAGCTATACAAATTACATAGGTTTTTTTACTTGAAATGTCAGCATTCATTGAAGGTGAAGTGACACTTATGTATTATTGTTATGTTTTGTTGTTTTACTTCGATAATAAATTGAAATAAACCGAGAACGATTTAAAGTTTTTGTGAATAAATGGCGTATGAAACAATTATTGGTCACCGGCTACCATGGGACCGCATCTCCTGACGTTGCTTTACTACCTTGTGGATCAGACCTTTAGGTCGAAGGGTGTGGGTTTTTCCCCTTAAGAAAACCATCTGCTTCAGTCTGGGCACCCGGACAGTATCACAGCCCACACACAAATCAATTGACTTGTGTGGTGAATATGTATTCATTGGCCCTTTGTACCAATATTTGTGTGTTTAAATAAATAATGAATAAGTTCATTGATTGAAAAACAAAATGATAGCACTGTGTGATTGTTTTTTGAAAATGACCGAATAATACATTGTCTTTTTTTTAAAAAAAGTCGATGTCATTTACATTTAATTTGAATGTGCCCCCAAATGCCCTGGTACGGCTGAGAGTGGGGAGAGTCCGCTCTCCCTTTCGAAATGCTTTCACATGGCCATGCGTATATAGCCTCTGCCAGGGAAGTCCTACTCACTGCCTTCTCGTGGCAAGGGTGTTGTTTACGAAAATGAGAGGATGAAAAGCGAATGTCCGGCGCTTTAACTGGATCCCAAACCAATGGTGTACATGGACTCCAGTATCCTGCGGAAACAAATGGCGTATGAACCAATCGTTGGTCACCGGCTACCATGGGATTGCATCTCCTCACGATGCTCCACTGCCTTGTGGACTAGAGCTTTAGGTCGAAGGCTCGGGGTGTGGCTCCCTAAGAAAACCACCTGCTTCGGTCTGGGTACCCGGGTAGTATCACAGCTCTCACACATATCAAATGAGATTTGTGTGGCGCATATATATTTGGTGTCCTCTTGTACCAATATTTATGTGTTCAAATAAATATAAATAAATAAAAAATAATTTGAATGTCATCTGGAATAAACATTATCTATATCAGTAGAATGAGGACCTTATGGAACCTTCTTCGACACTATGGTGTACCTGAGACAATGGTCGACATTATTCCAGACCTTCCATCACACACGTACGGGCAAAAGTAGGTCAAGACAGCCAGTGTAGCAGAAGCCTCTGCACCAGTAGGCCTCAACATACATAAGGGAAAAAGCTAGATCCTCAAACACAACACGGAGAACACCAACCCAATCACACTTGATAGAGAAATTCTGGAAGAGGTGGAATGTTTCACGTATGTGGGTAGCATCATCAATGAACAGGGAGGATCCGATGCATACATAAGGACAATGGTTGGCAAAACAAGGGCAGCACTCCTACAGTTGAAGAACATATGGAACTCAAAACAATTGTCGATCAATATCAAAGTCACAATCTTTGATACAAACGTGGAGACAGTTCCATTGCACAGAGCTGAAACTTGGATAACTATTATAACCATCATCAAAAACGTACAAGTATTTATAAGCAGTTATCTACGCAAGATAATCAATGTCTGTTGATCGTATACTATCAGAAACAGCCTACTACGGAAGGGAACAAACCAAATTCCGACTGAAGAGGAAATTAGAAAAAGACGTTAGGAATGGATAGGATATACATTACGAAAATTACCAAACTGTATCACGAGGCAAGCCCTAACTTAGAATCCTGAAGAGGAACGTAAAGGTGGAAGGTAAAAGGACACATTGCGTCGAGAATCGGAAGCAGACATCAAAAGGATGAATATTGACTGGAAAGGGTTGCCCAGGACAGAGTTCCATGGAGAATGCTCCTCCACGAGGGGTAGTAGGTGTAAGTAAGTACTATCAGTAAAATCGAAATGAAATTAACACACTAAGTATAACACGCGTCGATACAATTGTAATAGCAATGATACTAAGGAAGATTAAAAATCAAAAATATAGTTTGAGAATGAAATGAAACGTAAAGACATGCGTAATGGAATACTGGAAGTCATCAGCAAAAGGAAGATGAAAAAATGAATGCATTTTGATCATAAGTGTGACTGATTCTTTGGTCACATCATCCAATCTCTTCAAACAATGATCGCAGTTATTGAACAATTCCCCCAATATTTATTGGCTGTTTATTAAAACTTCAGTAATAATTGTTACATCAACTTAACTAGACAGTATTACTTAATGTGCAAAAGCAACTAGACAAGAAAATATTACTAAATATGTTCCCTAGCGAATTGTACCGTTTATAATGAAGGAATAATTATGAAAAAATACGCTGTGATCATATGACTTCTTGATAATTAAAATTTTATGGCATCAAAATAATAACTGCAACCATTTCACAAATATTTAAAAAATTGGCAATATGTGTGTAATTAAAGTTAGTTCAGATATGCAAATTATTACGTAAATATCCTTGCTCAAAGTTTCAGTTATACATAATGAAGCGATTTTAGTAAATGTAATATGAACTACGAAATCACAATCATCATGCACAAAAAGGATACTTTTAAAGATTACAGTGAATGAAAACTGAAAATTATTATATTCGCAGATAGGCTTTTCAGCTGAATGATGTAAACTTTGACAACTGTTAGAAAGTGCTTTCAAAAAAATATATGACAGATCTTCGGTCATCCGTAAAATGTAGAATGGTTGAACGTTTTGAGGAATTACTGAACCAGAATGAGGGTTATAGTTGTTCAATTTAGCTTGGTATTTATTTACTTTGATTTCTACAGAGAGTCCATCAAAATGTTTCTTGAAAAGAGCGAGAAAAAAGACCAACCGAAAGAATGGATTAACGTAATAATTACCTCATATTACCACAAAAGAGCTTCAAAACAACTTAGAAGGATCCTAAACCCAAGATCAATATAAGAGCATTTTTCCGAACGTATAATAGATACTCTTAGTTCTATGTTCATAGCGGTTAAAGATACAGTACTAAGAAAACAGAAGTGTATTACTGAAGCCAAACATACTAACTACAGTGCTGTGTATTGTAGATAAGGCTTCGTAACAGTTAAATGTGAGAATGAAGGGGGGAAAACTATGTTCGAATCATATTCCTAAATTTTAAGGAGACGTGAAAATAAATTGGTGACAGAAGTTCAGCGAAGGGATCTCTTTACTTATGTCATATATTCTCATTATTTTGTCAGAAGGGGTTTTGTGGAGAGTGTAATAATTTCGACAATTGAGATCATGAGTCAATTGGAGCTAGACCACCATGGAAAACCTGAACGGCCGTTTCTTCTTATTGTGGGACTCCTCAGAAGTGCGTATCCACGGTCCCACTCGCAGGATTCGAACCCAGGACTTGTCGGTCTCGCGCGCGAGCGCTCAATCACTGGACCAC